AGGGAAAGGGATTCTGGGAATTGTAGTTTCTAGCCTTGGGGGAGTGGTGATGATGTCAAGTTGACAAGAGACAGTCTAGCCCACCACCTCTCAGATGCTGGGCTGGGTACTGCTACAGAATTACAGTGCAGCCTGACGACTGAGGCAAGGGGATGTTGAGCAGTAGGAGGGAGGAAGGGCTGGAGTATTTAGTGCAGGTTGTGTAAAGGAGATGATATTTAAGCTGTGCATTGGAAAGCATGAGAAGCTGTTGGGAAAGGGATTTCCAAGGTGATGGGTAGGTAGGCATTTCAGGGGCCAGCTTGGTGGGGGATTGCAGTAGGTTAGGTGTGGAGGGATGGGGGTCAGTGTGTGTGGGGGAGCGGCAGGAGGTGGGGAGGCTGGGAGGCAGGCAGGCCTCAGATCAAGAAGGACCATGGATTGACCCCAGGGCCAGAGGACAAACGTGTTGGCAGTAGGGAGCCATAGATGGCAGTTATGTAGGAATGGAGGGGTCAGTCTTGTGTCAGGAACGAGGTTTCACAATGCTGTTTAGGAAGCCCTTGGAGTGGCCCAGGTGAGAGACTGATAGAGGCCTGTTGGAAAGGAGTGGAGTGAGGGCAGTTGGCAGGAGTCAGGGCCTGACCAGTGTAGTCAGGGGGCAGGGGGTGAAGATGAGTACCTTGTGCAGCATGAGCTCCATCAAGTTCACGTATTAACAAAAAAAAAAAACCCTGCAGAGTTGCCCATCCAGATGTGTTTCACTTTTTTCTCCAGATTCCCCTCTCATACCTTTTATTTTAAAATCCTGTTCTTTAGTGGCCCAGAGCCCATCTCTTGCATGAAACTTTGTGACCACCTAAGACCACAGCAGTCCCCCCCAACTCTTAAGAGCCACTTGTGAGGGACCCAGCTGTCCAGGGTTAACTGATCCCATCCCACCCATGGGTCTTTCATGGTGACCACAAACAAATGTTGGGCTAAAACTGAGAAGTCACGTATTCTCTGTAAATACCTTTCTCTGGTCTTCCCCTTCTTTATCGTAAGGAATGATTGTCAAATGAGAAGGTTGGGCTAGGTAATCCTAAATTTGGTAATCCCAAATGCTCTAATACTCCAGGTTTCTTATGTGAACCTCCCAGCCCATCTCTAAACTCCTAAACAGAATATTGCACCATACGTTCCTGGCACATCCTGGGCTAGTAGGTGCTCAATAAATGTTGTTTTTAGCTCTAGGCTATTTCTAAATTTTCTCCCACCTAGACCTACATGTGGACTTGGGAAGTGATTGATTTCAACTTTTGGGGGCACCACCCACAGAGCAGGCAGTTTGTTCTCCTTACTGTCCCAGGATTGAAGAGGCATGACTGTTGAGTTGGAAAACCACCTGTTCCTTTTTAGTGTTTATCAGTTAGGCAAGCTGATCAGCACTGCCAGACAGTGTCAGTCTGGGTAAATTAGCACGGTCATTGCACTCACTCTGTGTATTCCAGATGGAACCCTAGGAATCCCACACACATGTTTTGTTTCCCAGCAGAGCCTTTCTGCCCTCTTCTTGGCCCAGGGCAGCTGCCTAGAGTGACTCATTATTTCACTCACTCATTGATCCTTTATTCTATCCATCTTGCTTCTGAACTCTGCCCAGTTTGGTTCCTTATCCTAAACCACAATGAGCACCCTGTTTTCCAGTACCTGACATTCTTCTAGGGTTCGCGTGTCTCAACCCTGGCTGCACAGTAGACATACCTGGGGAGCTTTTTTAAAAAAGGGCTGAAATCTTGTCATTTGTGACAACGTGGGTGGACTTAGAGGGTATTATGCTAAGTGAAATCAGTCAGACAGAGAAAGACAAATACTGTATGATTTCATGTATTATGTGGAATCTAAAAACAAATGAACAAACAAGAAAACAGAAACAGCGTCATAGATACAGAGAACAAACGGGTGGTGGCCAGAGGGGAAGGGGGTAAGGGAAGAAGAAATGGTGAGGGAGATTAGGAAGTACAGACTTCCAGCTACGAAATAAATGAATCACAGGTATGAAGTGTACGGTGTGGGGAATATACTCAATAATAATAATGTAATATCTTTGTATGGTAACAGATGACAACTAGACTTACCACGGTAATGATTTGGAAATGTATAGAAATATGAAATCACTGTGTTGTGTACCAGCAACTAACGTAGTATTGTATGTCAATTATACTTCAAAAAACAAACTCATAGAAAAAGAGATCAAACTTATTGATACCAGTGTGGGGAGTTTGGGGAGGTGGGGAAATGGGGAGATGGGCTTGCAGGGGGAGGGAGAACTAGATAGTCAAAAGGTACATACTCTAGTTATCAGATAAATAAGTACTAGGGATGTAATGTACAACATGATAAAGATAATTATCACTGTTGTACGTTATATATGAAAGTTGTTAAGAGACTAAATCCTGAGTTCCTTCACAAAAAAAATTTTCTATTTCTTTAATATTTCTGTTAATGTTTCTTTAAATATTTCATTTATATGAGATGACAGATGTTCACTGAACATTATTACCATTATTGTGGTAATCATTTCATGATGTATGTAAATCAAATCATTATGTTGTACACCTTAAACTTACACAGTGCTTTATGTCAGTTATATCTCAGTGAAACTGGGAGAAGAAAATGTAAATTAAAAAAAAAGAAAAAGTTAAAAATAATGTATCAAATATGGAAAAAGAACAAACATTGCTTCTAGAAACGGAAAACACAACGGCACATTTTTAAAACTCAGTAGACATATTTAGCAGCAAAATGGACCTAAAAAAACCCAATTCAAACGCTAGGGGATTGATCTGAAGAAATCATTCATTAATGCACTAAGGAAAGAAGAAGACAGAAAAAAAACAGAAAAGAGATTAAGAGACATGAAAGACAGTGAAAAGACCTGAAAAATATTTAATCAGGAGGAAAGGAAAGAGAATAAAGGCAATATCTGAAGAGACAGTAGCTTAATTTTCCCCAGAACTAATGAAACTCACTAAATCCATAGATTCAAGAAACCCAACAAATCCCAAGCAGGATAAATAAAAAGAAATACACAAGTGAGTTCTACTCTTTGGAATTGGTTAATACTCCATTGTGGCCTAACAGTTAATTTTTGTGCCTGCTGCAGTTGTATTTCAAAGTTGTGTACAAAGTTGTGTGCACGCGCAGACACATACGTGGTTGCTAATTGTGTTATTTATACTCTCCATTTCCTTCTTTATTGCCACTTCATCTGTCAGTTTCTAAAATACAGAAGTTAGGCATCTCTCCAATACCAACGCGGATGCAGTTTCTCCTGGTATTTTTATCCGCTCAGTATACTTTGAACCTCTGCTGTTAAGTAAATAAAGTTTTCATGACTTAGAAAAGAAAAGAAAAGAAAAGAAATACCTGGGGAGCTTTTAAAAAATATCGATGCTCTAGCTCCACCCCAGACTAATGAAGTCAGAGCCCCAGGGGAGTAGGGTCCAGGTATAAATATTTTTAAAAGCTCCCCAGATGATTCTGTGTGCATCCAGAGTTAATACCGCCATCCTAGAGAGTCTCCTAATTGCACTAACCTGGTGCTTTTCTGCTGTATTTCATGCTCCATATTCTGCCACCTTGGTAGTTGCTCCAACAGTGCTGCCTTAGAATTTAGACAAGAACCCAGGGGACTGAGCCAATAAAGAATCAAAGCATGTTTATGGGAGGGAAGTCCCTTCTTAGTGGCCAGCTGCTGCTGACTTGGCTGCGTCTGCACAGATAAAACCTATCATCTTAAGGAACTTTTGAAATAACTGTGTGGTTTTCTTCACAAATGTTTCTTTACAAATGCCTGCTAGTTATGGTGAGTGGTAAACTTTGCAGTGGCGTCATTACTTCCCTTTTAGTGAATTTTGAGGTGAAGTGCAAGGTGGTTTTCCGACAGAAGCAAAAGACAAGATTGCAGTGAAAGTTGAGACAGGGCAGAGCTGGACCCCAGCAGGCCCCAGTTATCCATTTGGTTTCACTTCCCTGGCTTTTGAAAAGTCATGTTTACAGTAGTATCTGCCTTGGGCTTCCCAATCCTGTGGGGAGATGGATGAGGTAATGTATGTCCCTGCTGTATTTATTTATTTATTTATATTTATTTATTTTGCGGTACACGGGCCTCTCACCGTTGCGGCCCCTCCTGTTGCGGAGCACAGGCCCCGGACATGCAGGCTCAGCGGCCATGGCTCACGGGCCCAGCCGCTCCGCGGCATGTGGGATCGTCCCGGACCGGGGCACGAAGCCGTGTCCCCTGCATCGGCAAGCGGACTCTCAACCACTGCGCCACCAGGGAAGCCAGTCCCTGCTTTATTGATAAGGAAGACAGTTGTAGGAGCTGGGCAGAGCCCAACCTGGCAGTACTGGGACTCTTTCCTTCCACAGAAATCCTTTCCCCTTCCCACCCTCTTACCTAAAGCTTTCTTTTCCCCTCCCTCCATCTGCCCCTTCCTTCTTCCTCCCAGTTGCCTCAGCACTGGGGGAGGGGGTGGACGTGTTGGGAGAAAACTGTTGAGTTTCTGTTTTTGAAAGTTCAGAGTGTTAGTTTCCATAAATGCCGGGACTGAGAGCATTCCTGGAGACGCCTTCGGAGGGGGAAAAAAAAAGTGATCACATCTTCTTTTGTCAGTCTTTATTCTTCATTCAACAGCAGGTTTTTTTTGTTTTTTTGACTGCGCTGTGTGGCATGTGGGATCTTAGTTCCCCGACCAGGGACTGAACCTGCGTGTCCTGCATTGGAAGCGCAGAGTCTTAACCACTGGACCGCCAGGGAGGTCCCAACAGCAGGTTTTTTATTCCAAGGAGAAGGATGTCTACCTATCTGCCTTATGGCGGAAGCTCAGAAAAACTGGTCACAGGAGACCTTTGCTGCAGCCGTCCTGGCCCTCATTCTTGGGTCTTCCGTGGTGGTCTGAGGGCTCTGTAAGGTTGTGTTAGCTAAACCCGCTCGGTGCCCTTTCAGTCAAGGGGCTAGGACCCCAGACTCCCGGACAGCTTCTCTCGTTTCCTCCTCCCGGGCTCCCTGCACCTGGCTCGGCCCATCATCTGCTCTGTGCTTTGCAGGAAGGAGGAGACGGTCACTGTCTACCCTGCAGACGTGGTGCTCTTCGAAGGGATCCTGGCCTTCTACTCCCAGGAAGTGCGAGACCTGTTCCAGATGAAGCTTTTCGTGGACACAGATGCGGACACCCGGCTCTCCCGCAGAGGTGCGTTCCAAAAGCCTCTGATGGCCCTGTCGGTGGCCTGTGACAGGACCCTTCCCTCCCCGATTCTGGGGCCCGTGCCTTCCTGCTGCGTGGCCCAGCCCAACTTAGTCAGTCTAGCCCCAGGGATGTCCTGTTGCCCAAACATTTGGTGACATTTGAGAAGGGATTAGTCACTTACTGTTTCAGATAACGAAAAGCTTGTGAGGTCACAGAGATGACATAAGTTCACGTTTTGGTTTTGCTGGGGAAAAGTTTGGTTAAGTGCTCAGTTCCTTATGATTTACCCACAGGTGTCATAATCAAGATGGGAACTCACTGTAGGACATCTGGGGGGTGGGCAGGAACACCCTCTGCCTGCAACTCTGGGCAGCTGGTCCCACCTGCCCGCTTCTCTCACCCTTTGCTTTCGGAAAGTTCTGTGGAGGTTTGGTCATTCTGTCCACCCAGCTCGGGAGCAAAGTCAGTTGTTCTCTCTGCAGGCCTTCCTTCCACGAGTGCTGAAGACACCAAACTGCTTGCTGGTGGGAGAGCGGAGCCTGTGAATTCAGCTCTGCGGGACACGAAGCAGAGGGCTTGCTTCTACCAGAGAGCTTGGGAGGCTTTGTGGGAGAAGTGGGTTCTGGACTTGGATGTGGCAGGGTGATGGCCTAGGCAGCCCAGGAAGGCATATACCGCAGACAGAGACACCATGGCTTGTTAGGACTGTCTTGCTGATCTGGACAACACGTAGGGCTGTCTCCCGTGGGTGATGTGAGGGGGAATGGAGAGTTGGGGAGAGATGAGAAAGGTTCCTAGCAGAGTTAGAGCTGACCGGACCCCAGCCAAGGCAGCGGGCTGTGGGTGACTGAGGAGCGGGATGAAAGCTGACTTAAGGTTTGAGTCCCCATCGTGTGGAAGAGGAGTGACACAGGAAACGCCAGGGTTAGCTCCTAGTCGCAGAGCAAGTCGTCGGCAGAGTCAAATTTCATAAGCTGCAGCCCAGAGCCTTCTGACCTCAAAGTCTGTGAAGTTTCCTCTTTTCCGGTTCATGAAACAGATTATTAGTTTATCCAGTTCAGTACTCTTGTCACAAGAACTATAAGTGGAAATGGCAGAATCTAGAGAAATGACTCCCTGGGTTTTACCCTCCTAAGAAGTAATAGGAGTCACACTTTTTTTTATTTAAATGGGTAATATGAAGGAGACAGGCCTGTTTTTTAGGGTTACACAGGCCAGGTAAGAATTGCATGATCTTTTTTGACAGATAATTGAGGCTTGAGCCTGACAGTCACTTATGCATCTGCCCCAGGGTCTGGTTTATCACCTTCATCCACAAACCCAGGTCCTACCTAGGCTGATCTGCTCGGATGTCCATATTAGCTTGCCAAATTTGGGAGGCATCACTGGGGGGAAAATTGGAGTCAGATGAACTGGACATTATTTAAATCCTGGTTTCACCGCTGAGTAGATGTGTGACCTTGGGCAGATTATGGTTTTTTGTTTTTTTTTTTTTACATCCTTATTGGAGTATAATTGCTTTACAATGGTGTGTTAGTTTCTGCTGTATAACAAAGTGAATCAGTTATACATATACATATGTTCCCATATCTCTTCCCCAGATTATGTTTTAATCTCTTTGTACCTTATTTTCCTATTGGTTGATCACGTAAGGATTAGTTAGTACTCCTGGGATAGTTGTGCCGATCAGAGGTAATGCAGGTAAAATGCCTGGTGGTGGCATTAGTCGATAAATATCAATGTGGCAGATCAGAAACCTGCTTCACCTGAGATGATGATGTTATGTTTTCCAAGTGTTCTCTCAGGACTTGTCAGAACCTCTTGAGTAGTCATGTCCTCAGGAGCTGGTGACACCTGGGCTGGTAGCATCATTAGTCCAGCAGGTGGTACTAAAGTCCCAGGGGATGGAGTGATGCCTGAGGGTGGAGCGAGTGCAAGAAATTGCATAGGAAATTAGAGCCCCGTTTTGTGGAGGGGCAAGATCCTTGGACTCTGATTCATTCAAACAAGTAATCCTAGGGTAGATTAAACAGAAACTTCTCCTTCCTTTTCTCGTACTGAGATCCTTATGTGAAATGGGGGAGAGACCCGAGGTGATGGTGGCCTTCTCTGGGGATTACTTAGGGTCAGTTCTCTTCACCCCCTGCCTTCCCTGGTGCCCCTGGGGCAGGTCGCTGCCTTCTTTCCGTTCCGCTGTCTTGTCATGTCACCCACTGCTTAGTCACTCTCAGCAAAAGCTGTTTCTACAAATTCACTCTCTGTCTACCTAGGACAAAAAACATGCCTGGCATGTGCTTTGTGGGTAAGGGAGAGGGAGGGAGGGTTAGTCGGGAGCTGTGGGGCAAAAGAACATTCCTGGAGGCTTGAGTGAGCGCTACGATTTCACCTGTCTGTGGGTTACATCCTCCTGGGCACATTCCAGGTTGACCCTTGTGTGGGAGGGAGGTCTGCATCAAGTCTCATAGCCTTGGAAGGACTTCCAGGGACCCGCTTGTATTTCTAGGGAATTGGTTTCCTCCCAGCAAAGTTTGCCTTTGCCTTCCCTCTCTATATGCATTTAACCAACCCTTGAATTAGGGACAGGGGAGACGAGAGGTGGGGCCCCTGAGACTGCTGACCCCTCGTCTCTCCCGCCATGGCTCTCTGTGCCCAGTTTACACGGAGTTAGGGCTGCAGTGAGCCTTGACATAGTCAGTGTGTTCTTTTACTAGAGTAACACATCTTCTTAACGAATTTTTAAAGTGAATTGACAGCCATGGAGGAATTGTGTTTATTCTGGGTCCTACATTTGGTTCTCAGCTTTGGGTGATGTGAAGCAGCATTCGCTGATTTGGAAGGGCTGAGTGGAGGCCAAGCAGGGAAGGGTAGACCTGTCGTTCCCTGCCCTTTACCCTGCAGGGCCCCTCTGAGAGGGCCTGTCTCAGCCCAGCAAATGTGCCAGGGCCAGAGTGATGACAAGGAAGCTGGTTTTAAGTCCCTGGAGTTTCCGGCTTGTGCCAAGACCTTGTTGTGCCTTAGTTGTTGGCTTGGCCCCGTTTCCTGACTGAGGAGGAGGGCGTTTCGGTACAGTGAACTGGCTGGCCCCGAGCTGTCCTTGGCTTAAGGAGGCGGCCCATCTGTTTAAGGTAATAATTCGATGGAAGGCTCTTGGGAGCGGAGGTGGGCGATGCCTTCTGGTTTTGCGTGTTCCCGGCGTCTGGGCAGTGTGCCGACCCACTGCCATCTCCTTTTCCAGGGTGGAAGCTGGAGGATGCCTCCTGCCTGTCTTCCTGTTTCACCCTCTCCATCCTGTCTTTCCACGTGTCCACCCCCCACCTCCTGCACTGCAGCCCCCCCCACCCCCCCGCCTTCCCAGCTGCTCTGAGGGACTCCCACCCCCACTGGGTCCAGCCTGCTCACCTGAGTTCACAGTTCCCATCCTTCCGATACGACAGTCTGCTGTCTCAGGGAGCCATCCCCCTCCCGGAGCTTCCTCAGGTCCTGTTGTCTTCATAGAAATTTAGGCTTATTGAATACACACCATGTGCCAGCCACGGTGCTGAAGCATTTTATGAATATCTTCCTGTCTTCCTTAGTGACCGCTTTGTGAGAAAGTCGCTATTATGGGCTCTGCTTTACAGTCAAGGAAAATGAGCTCCAAAGATGTTAAGTAACTTGTCTAAGGCCACAGAGGTAGTAGTTAATGAGGTCAGGATTCAAACTGGGTCAGTTTTGCCCCCATCGCTGTAGCTGATGGGGCAAGAAGTGGCTTCGGGCTTCAGCGGTCGCAGGTGTGACTCACCTGCGTCCACTGCTTTCTCCCTGGTACTTTTCTGTCTCCCATGACATGACAGGTGATGCTCTCGGGTCTGCAAGACACAAGAGAGCTGCAGGCCTGGACCGAGGGCAGTGGCAGAGCGATGTGAAAGGGGAGTGTGTGTGTGTGTGTGTGTGTGTGTGTGTGTGTGTGTGTGTGTGTGTGTGTGTGTGTGTGTGAGAGATCTGGGGGAAGGACAGAGGTTCCCACAGTGCTGAAGTTGTCAGCAGTTGTGTGAAATGCACGTCTTGTGAAACAAACCCAGCATCAGGCATTTGCAGGGCTTTTGAGTCAAAGCTGCTTAACAAGTGTGGGTGTGTGTTTGCTTTTTTCCCCCCAGCTCTGATACCCTTTTGGTCTGGCTTCCTTTTTTCTTTGGACCTTATCTGGAGACGTGTGAAGAGCTGGAGGCCGCATGGGCTGTGTGTTTTGGTGAGCTCGGCCCGTTGGCCTGAGTGCCCGAGCTCTTGGAGGCCCGTGGGGCTGAGCCACGTGGCACCTGTTGGGGCTCCTACTTGGCCGAGCGTCCCTGGCAGAGCAGCGGCGGTGGCAGCTGGAGCAGGGCCCCGTGTCCAAAGGCCTGAGAAGACCATTTCCTGGCTGGGCTGGGTGCACAGGTGGCAGGGTTTGTGAGGCAAATCCTAACGATTTAGGGACCAACCAACCGTTTTATTGCCAGGGCTCATGCGGGGGGAAAACTCCTTGTGATTTGAGGAGCTGGTAGAGAAGTCAATGGTGACAGCAGTATATTTGTATACTACCCGGGTTTCTGGAATGGGGTCTTCCTGACAGTTTTCTAGCCATCTGATCGTGGAGACTTCATGCCAGCCTGGACCAAAACCACAGGCTCTCCCTGTTACCCGCCCTTCCCCACGTGTGTGCGTTCCTGTGCGTAAACACAGAATTATTTACAGACGTGGCTTTCCAGAAATTCACTTACAAGTATTCCCTATGTTTGTTTAGAGTTTCATCCCACACTGAAACGATTACCTGAGAAATGATTGAAGGGAGCTGAGAGCCCATTGCAAATGACTGTAGATGGATTTGATACCCTTTTGGGGTGGGAGGGAAAG